CTGGTCCTCTCCCTCTCTCTAACAAAAAAACAAACAAACAAAAAAGGAAAAATAGAAAGAAAGTAAAAGATGGGGGTGGTTTAAGAATGAGCATCTTTCACATTCTGCATTTTCAAAGTATCCAATGCGACTTGCCATGATAACTAAATTTATTATTAACTGTGTATTTCATGATGTTAGTGACAATATGTTAATGTGATTTTTCACGTCCTCCTGCAGTGAACAGATGGCTCCTTTTACTTTACTTTCCACATCAAGTGTGATTATTTCTTGGTGCCAAAAGCCACCTGCCGCTCCTCGGTCTCCAGTCTAATTTTTTATGTTGGTAAAACACAGCAGGACTTGTTATCAGTTGGATGGCATCTTAATAAAAGGAGACATGCCAACATATTGACATCATGTTCAAGGGGAAATTTCAGCCCCTTCAAACCCTTAACCCCCTTTTCCCACCTCCTTTCAAAAAGTGAGGCAAGAAAAAAATAAAATAAAATAAAATAATAAATGCAAAGATCCCACCAGTTTCAAGATGTTTGATTACAATTATTGGGCCTAGAGCCAAGATGCTGAATTGGCCTCCCTTTGTTCCTAAACCCAAGCACCTCACTCAGGGCTCTGATCTTTCATCCTGTGTAATGATAATTAGCTGTAACATATTCCAAAGTCAAATGTAAGCAGGAATACATTAACATTGAGATCAGTGTCAGGGCAATTTTCACTGGGAAAATGACAAAGAACACACACACACACACACACACAATAAAAAATTTCAAGATTCAAACATTCATAAAATCACTTCCAGGGCTATGAATATTACTCATTGGCTCATCTGTCGTGAGTGACTACCTGGAATGCCAAGGCTCAGATGTGGACACATTGACTCCCATGGCCCATGCTTAACAGAGAAACATGAGTAATAAACCATGGTGGCTTGCTTTAATTTTTCCTTTCTTCCTTAGAACAAAGAGGAATAGTATGTAAGGTGATTTGTGGTCCAAGAAGAGGTCTTCCAAGCGATTGGATGGCATGGCTCTCAACAGCTGGTCCAGCACATTTGGGAACAGCATGTAGAAAAATGCACCAGTGTTTTGAAGATTACCAACTGTGATGATGCATTGGTTATGACACAGTCTAAAAAAGTCAAATTTGCTAGCCATATAATACATAAATAGATGCCCTTACCATCAGGGTACACACTCTCAAATTAAAGACAAAGATAAGTCCAGGTTTGGCAAAATCTAAACTTTCCCACTGATTCCTATGCTTGAGATTGAGAATAGTAGTGGCATTCTTAGATGTCTGAAATTTCTTTTTAAGGAGTTAAACATGCAGTTGGTTTTCTAAAATGTAGAGAGTTTATACCAGGCGGAAGAAAATGCCTGCAATAAAAGTGCAAATATCTTTTTTAAAATGATCCATAATTAATTTTTAGGGGGGATTATTCTACCACCAAATCTCTCAAATTGATAAAACAGCAGTCACTTTTATACTCCTTTCAACTGTCCTTCCAAACAAAGGAGTCTGTGTGAAATAGATCTTTATTAACTGTGTTTTGCAGCTTGATCAGTTTTTTATTTACATTAGTTTCCTAATATTTTATTATGAAAATTTGCAAACATAGAAATTTGAAAGAATTTGATCACTAACATTATTGTATCTACAACACAGGTCATATGATTAATGTTTTATTATACTAATTTTCTCATATCTTTGCATCTAGCCAACCCTTTATCTATTCCTCAACTCATCTTACTGTATTAGATTATAAAATGAATAACCAACAGCCTATCCAGCAAACTAAATTAAAAATAACTATGATAATTACTTAATAAAGTAAGAACCATATATGGAGGTTTTTATTAATTTACTCAACAAATTTTTTTTGGCACTCCTGCTTTGGGTCAATCACTGTTCTAAGTGCTGAAAATACAGGATTGAAAAAAAATAGCCAAGTTCCCTGCCCTTACTGAACTTACAACTTAATGAACTTAACAGGAAAAAAATTATTAAGTGAACATGCACAGGAAGATATGACAACAAAGATGAGTAAATTCAGTCAGAATTGTTCTCAACTTTAAGGCTGCAATACAGGCGAGAAGAATGTTTCATGATCCACTGCATTATTGCCTATAATGAAGCCTGTATATGGCAACTCAAAAAAATATTTGCCAAATTTCTGAATGACTGAATAAATTTTAAACTTTAAAATATGGACAGCATTTAAAAGCTTCAATATTTAGAAGTTGCCGCACATGGCCGGGCGTGATGGCTCATGCCTATAATCCCAGCATTTTGGGAGTCAGAGACAGGAGGATCACTTGAGGTCAGGGGTTCAAGAAGTAGCTGCACTCAAGAAGAGTAGCTTTAAAAGTACATGAAGAGCATATAGTCAATTAGTTTAATGACTCTATTTTCAACAATCCAATATTAAATACTTTTTAAGGAAAACACATTGATTTTTTTGGAGTATTCTGAATGTCCACCAACAAAGCACCTGCAGTTATATGAAATATAACACAAACGAAGTAACCAACCTTATTCTTATGCTTTCAAGAATAAGGTAGTGCCAATGATTGTTTCAGAGGTATCATAACTTAAATTAAAATACTGGGACGCTATTATACACTGGCAATCAAAAGCTTTTGTTTAGTTAGTGGGTTTTTTGTTTTGTTTTGTTTTGTTTCTGAGTTGGAGTCTCACTCTGTCACCCAGGCTGGAGTGCAGTGGAACACTCACAGTCAATGAAGCCTCAACCTGCTGGGCTCAGGCGATCCTTCTGCCTCAGCCTTCCAAGTAGCTGGAACTATAGGCACGTGCTACCACACCGGCTAATTTTTTGATTTACTGTAGAGATGAGATCTCTCCAAGTTGCCCGGGTTGGTCTTAAACCTGTGGGTTCAGGCAATCCTCTCACCTCAGCTTCCCAAAGTGCTGGAATTATAGGCGTGAGCCACTGTGCCTGGCCTTTTTTGTTTGTTTGTTTTAATGAAGAAAATAGTGGCTTTAGTTTAGGCTCCTTAGTTGTTTGTTTGTTTGTTTGTTTAAAGCATTGTTTGTCAGCTTTAGGTTGGTCTGCCAATAGATTGCAATTACCCTACAGAAGCTAAATCAATTTGGTCAACTTTCTAACCTAAATTGAGGCAATTATTATCAGATTATTTAGTGGCTACAATTTATTATCAATGAAACTACTATGTAAATCAGTTCTTTATAAGCAGAACTGATGATTTTATAAATAAGATACTTGTATTAAATAAAAAATGCTTAAACAAAGTAGTCCCAGACTCAAAAACTAATAGAGTTGGGAACATTTGTTAGTATATATTGGTATAGCAGGACAGAGGAGATGTAGAAAATAGACTTTGGGTCAAAACTTTCTATAGTGTACATTAATGTATACATCCAATGTTTACTACTGCCAAATACTTGGGAAACTTTTTTATACAATTTAAATACAATTTGATGAACTGGCATATTGGCAAATGTTGTCTCTAAATTATTGCTTAGGAAAGCTCCTATAGGCAGTTGTTTTTTTTTTTTTTTTTTTTTGCCCATGCCAATTCTGATATGTCTTCCTTTCTTTCCTTCCTTCTTTCTCTAATAAACTTTGTCTTAAAATTAAAAAAAAGAAAAGCTCTGATAGAATTTTTAAAAAACAAAGATATAACTAGGAAAATCTTTACCAGCTTTCAATTATTTCTATAACTTACGACTCACATTAAGTATGGTTGTTATTTCTGTTTCTCTGACTTCATAATATTCTCTGAAGTGTTAACTTAGATGGGAACAGTGAAATAACAATATTATATTTCATTTTTTATGTTATTTTCTATCTTGTCCTGTTTGGTTTTAATAAAGACAAACTGGCCTCATTCTTGAACCAATTCAAAAGTGTAGTCTATGCCCTAATATCAAAAATTGTCATTCATTTAGTGGATATGCAATAAGTTTTCATTAGTGATTAAAGACATTTTTATTCACCAACTTTACAATTAACCTGAAAATTTAAGTTTCCATTTTGTAGACTTCTACTTTGGCCAAGATGGAGAAAAAGGGGTTGTATTTTCCCTTTTCATCTAAAACAATTTTAAAATGGAACAAAAAGACATAAATTAACATAATTCACGAAATATATTTTAAAAACTTACAAAATGCTGGACGCCAGAGAATGAGTAAAGGTCAGTCATCCCTAAAGGGGAGAAACAAGTGAATGTGGCTTATTTCCCAGGGAGAGTCCAAGGCAACAGCTCAGGGATGCAGCCCAGGTGCAGCCCAGCAGAGACCTAAATTTATAAATTTATAAATCTAGATTCAAGTAGCTCCAGAACCCCAAGCACAGATAACAAGAAGACTACACCAAGGTCACATCATGAGAAAACCGACCCAACCCACTGATAAAGAGAAAAACCTGGAGATAGGCAGAGAAAATAAGGAGACATGTTCAAAACAAAAATGACAGAAAAATTCACAACTGAAACAGCGAGAGGGAAGACGATAGAGCCACAGCTCCAACGTTCCGAAATTTAAACAGAAAAAGAAAAAAATCCGTTAGAAATTTGTACCTGTTGAAAATATCTCCAAGTGTTCGCGTGAAATAATTGTCCAATGTGCACAGGTTGGCAGGCTTCATCTCCAGCAGCCCTGCACTGTAAGAGACGTCCAAAGACCTCTTTCAGGGAAAGAGAAAAATGAAAGAAATACAGATCCGCCTGAAAGAGTAACCACACGCGTAAATACGCGCAGTTGCTGCTTTTAACTTTAATCTCCTTAAAAGAGCTTTGATAGGCTGGGGGCGGGGCCTGGGCCGGAGGGGCGGGGTTAGAAGGCGGAGCCAGTTAAAGGGCAAAGGTTAAAGAGTGCTTTGGGCTTCGCAGTCCTCAGGGGAAGCCAGGCGCCTGCGCACTGCGCCCCCGTCGCACTGCACGGCCCTTCTCCGATGCCTTCGCCCCTCCCCCAACGTCTCCGTCTCCCGGGAAACCGCACCCGGCCGGCCTGCTGGCATCATGGCAGCCCCAAAGAAACCAGTGGTGGGGCCGTTGGTGGGGTCGGTGGTCCAGGGCACCAGCTCCACTCGCTTTCTGGTTTTCAATTCAAAAACCTCGGAGCTCCTGAGCCATCACCAGGTGGAGCTGACGCAAGAGTTCCCCCGGGAAGGGTGGGTGGAGCAAGACCCGAAGGAGATCCTGCAGTCTGTCTACGAATGCATGGCCAGGACGTGCGAGAAGCTCCGCGACCTGAACGTCGACACGTCCAGCATCAAGGCCGTGGGCGTCAGCAACCAGCGAGAGACCACCGTCATCTGGGACAGGCTGACAGGGGAGCCCCTGTACAATGCCGTGGTGTGGCTGGACCTGAGGACCCAGGCCACCGTGGAGGCCCTGAGCAAGAAGATCCCAGGGAACAACAACTTCGTCAAGTCCAAGACAGGCCTCCCGCTCAGCACCTACTTCAGCGCAGTGAAGCTGCGCTGGATGCTGGACAATGTGGTACACGTGCAGAAGGCGGTTGAGGAGGGTCGGGCCCTCTTCGGCACTGTGGACTCCTGGCTGATCTGGAGCATGACAGGGGGCGTCAACGGGGGCGTGCACTGCACTGATGTCACCAACGCCAGCAGGACCATGCTCTTCAACATCCACTCCCTGGAATGGGATCAGGAGCTCTGCGACTTTTTTGAAGTTCCCATGACCATTCTCCCCAATGTCTGGAGTTCTTCGGAGATCTACGGCCTCATAAGAGGCGGGGTCCTGGAAGGGGTACCCATATCTGGTTGTTTGGGGGACCAGTCGGCTGCATTGGTAGGACAGATGTGCTTACAGGAGGGACAGGCCAAAAATACATATGGAACCGGCTGCTTCCTGCTGTGCAACACAGGTCGCAAGCGCGTGTTCTCTGAGCATGGCCTTCTGACGACAGTGGCCTACAAGCTGGGCAAGGACAAGCCCGTGTGTTACGCGCTGGAAGGCTCTGTTGCTATCGCGGGCGCTGTGGTTCGCTGGCTGAAGGACAACCTTGGAATCATAGAGACCGCAGAAGAGATTGAAAAACTTGCTAAGCAGGCAGGCACTTCCTACGGCTGCTACTTTGTCCCAGCGTTTTCTGGATTGTATGCACCTTATTGGGAGCCCAGTGCGAGAGGGATCATCTGTGGTCTGACTCAGTTTACCAACAAATGTCATATTGCTTTTGCTGCATTAGAAGCTGTTTGTTTCCAGACCCGAGAGATTGTGGAAGCTATGAACCGTGACTGTGGAACTCCACTAAGCCATCTGCAGGTGGACGGTGGAATGACCAACAACAGAATCCTGATGCAACTACAGGCGGATATTCTGCATGTCCCAGTTGTAAAGCCCTGCATGCCTGAGACCACCGCACTGGGTGCCGCCATGGCCGCAGGTGCTGCCGAAGGGGTCGGCGTCTGGAGTCTGGAGCCCGAGAGTCTGTCGGGTGCCAGAGTGGAACGATTTGAACCGCAGATCCAGGCCTCAGAAAGTGAAAATCGTTATGCTACGTGGAAGAAAGCTGTGAGGAAGTCAATGGGTTGGGTGACAACTCCTGTAAGTGGGGACTCGACTATCTTCTCTAGTCTGCCTTTGGGGTTTTTTATAGTGAGTAGCATGGTCATGCTAATTGGAGCAAGATATATCTCAGATATATCAGAGTAATACCAGCCATGGAGTCCCAAGATGTGAACATTTTACATAATGGAAGAATCTAGCAGCTCTGTTTCTTCATGTAATGACATTATTATGGACTCTGATTTTATTTAAACCACTTGCTACCTGACCCATGAGAACCCTGCAAGTAGACCTGTGGCTTGAAATAAAGAAAACAGTAGAAAAGCACCGTAGAAACATTTGGTGTGTTTTTTAACATGGACAGTTAAGTGTGAGCCAGTCACCGTGGAAGCTAACCCTCTACTGATATGACATTTTGCCCCATTCTTTCTAAAATGTAGGATACTCATATTCTATTCATGAAATCATTTATCAAAAATACTCTTACACATATGGACTCAGATTTGGTTATCTGTACTACACACACTTCATTAAGAGCTGTAATTAATCTGCTAAAACTTAGAGACTTGTTATTGTTGCTTTTAATAGATCCCACCAATTCTTTTTGCTACATATTAGGGAGACCACAACATCTTCACTGAATGTTTAGTGGAAACATTTGCTAAATTCTTACAATAGAAACTTAATGTTCTTATAGCATAGCTATTTTCCTGAAAAATCATTGCCAAATTAAAATTCTTCAGACATTTCACATGGTCTCATTAATTATCCTAAGTTGTTTTGTGAATCCAGTAAGAAAAATAGCACTTTTTCCTTAAAAAAATTTTGTGTGTGTGTGTGTGTATGTATACACACACACACACACACACACATATATATCCTCAATCGTATAGAGTAGTTCATGTAAATTACGAGCACTTTGTAGTCAGTAGATTATAACATCAAATGGTCCTAAAGGAACCACTGCACACATAGATATTTTAGGGTAAACAGCTATATGTGTTTGGGGGCAATATGGATACATGCTATTTATCAGGGGAAACGTTTTCCTCAAAAGTCAATATTTATATTTATTATACTTACCTTTGTATTTAATTGTCCTAGTTGGACATATTCTGGAAAAAATAAACTGTAGAATACTGCAGTAAATATTGTTTTCAAGCAGGAAAAATAAACATTCAAACAAAAATAATATGTAGTATGAAATTTAGGCATGCATAAAAGGAAGCAAGCCAAAAGGGAATAAATGGAAGGGTAGTATTCTGAAATTCATATGGTATATGGGAAATGGCATAATATCACTTGAATTCACATTGATAACTAAAGATGCATACTATAAATCCTAAAATAACAAAAGTTATAATTAATAAACCAATTAAGCATATGTTAGAACAATAAAATTATTCAATTTTCAAGAAGGCATAAAGCAGACAAAAAAGGAAAAAGTAGATAGGAAAGTAGAAAACAATAGCAGGAAAATATATTTAAACCTAACTATACCAACAAGCACATTAAATGTAAGTGGTTGATTACCCTAATTAAAAAACAAGGTTGTCACACCAGATTTTTTTTAAAAGAACAATATCCAAATATATAGTGCATCCAAGAAACACACTTTATATATAAAGACAAAATAAGTTAAAAAGATAGAAAAAAGATATACCGACTTAATACTAATCAAAATAAATAGCAGAAAGCAAATTTTAGAACAAACTTATCAGTGACAAACAAGGTCATATTGCAATGATAAAGGAGTAAATTCATCAAAAGGACATAACTAAATATTTATGCACCTCATGATGGAGCTTCAAATACATAAAGCAAAATATGAGAGAATGAAAATAAAATGTATACCTATCTACGATTATAGTAAAAGATTTCAACATCTCCTCCTTAATATTCAATAGACAGAATTTACTTAACTATAGAAGATTTGAACAATTCTTTCAAACAATTTGACTTAATTGACATCAATGGACCATACAACCAAACAATAGAGAATGCATACTCTTTTCAAGTGCATATGAAACATTTACAAAGATAGATCATATTCAGACCATGAACCAAAGAAAATTTCTTTAAAAAAATAATTCCTACAAGGTATGCTGTCTGCTGTCTGGGTACATGGGAACTGTAAATCAGCAAAAGAAAGATCTCTGAAAAATATCCCCAAATATTTGGAAACTAAATAACAAACTTTAAAATAATCCATAAATTAAGGTGATAAAAGAGCAAATAAAAAGCATTTAGAATTGAATGGAAATGAAAACATAACATATTAAAATTTATGAGATATTGTTAAAGCAGCACTTAGGGAGTAATTTATAGAGTTAAAGTATCTGTATTAGCAAAGAGAAAATGTCTTAAATCAGTGTCCTTCAATTCAACCTTAGGAAACCAGAAACAGAATAATAAGTTAAACTCAAGTAAGTAGAAGTAAGGAAATAGTAAAGATAAAAGCAGTGATCAATAATGTAGAAAACATTAGCAAAAATCAGTTTTAGACTATGAATAAAATTAATTAACTTCTAACCACAATGACCAGAAAGAGAGAGAAGACAAAAATTATCCCTATCAGGAATGAGAATAGCATCACCACAGATCCCAAAGATATTAAAATAAGATTATGGAAATATTATGAAAGCTTTGTAAATTTGACAGCTTAGATAAAATAAACAAATTAACTGGACAACACAAATCACTAAAACTCAGGAAAAAACTGAATGATTCTGTATCTCTTAAAAAATTTTAATTTCTAATTTAGAACCTCCCAAAAAGAAAATCACAAGCTCAAGTGACTTCAATGGTAACTTCTTCCAAATATGTAAGCAAGAAATATTACCCAGTCTACACAAAGTCTTCCAGAAAATGAAAAGAAGGAAATGTTTTCAAACTCATTCTGTGAGCTCAGGTTTATAGTATTATCCTGATTCCAACACCAGACCAAAAAAATTACTGCAGACCAAATACTTCATAAACATATGTGTAGATGCAGAACTTCTAGACAAAATTCTGGCAAAATTTATTTAATAATATATATCAAAATTAATTTAATAATATATAAAATAATAATACATCATGACCAATGAGGGAATGTAAAGATAGGATAATGAATCAGTATAATTGAAAAATCAAACCATGTGCTTCACCATATTAATAAACTAAAAACAAACAAAAACTGCATGAGATAAAACTACACAATAACCAAAGTGTCTAAAATAAAAAGATTGGCCATACAATGCTGGTAAAGATGTAGAAAAACTTATCTTTCATTTGTGTCTGGTGGAAATGAAAAATGGTATAAACATTTTGGAAAACAGTTTGGCATTTTCTTAAGAAATTAGATCTATATTTGTCTTATTATTCTAGGACTTATCTAGGATAAATGAGAACATATATCCGTACAAACACTTGTTTATTGCACTTATTATAGCCCCAAACTGTGCACATCTCATGTCCATCAACAGGTGAAAAGATGGACTATGGTATATTAATACAATGAAATACAAAATGAACTATTGATAAATGTTATAACATAGTTGAATTTCAAAATAAGTAAGTGAAATAAGCTATACCAAAAGACAATATACATAGTATATGATCTTGTTCATATAAAATTCTAGAAAATTCAAAATATTGTACAGTGACAGAAAGTAGATTAGTAGATGCCTGGGAACTTGGAGGGGGTTATGGTAAGTGGACAGGAAGGGGTGGGAGGCATAATTATAAGGGCACAAAAAAATTGGGACATGATAAATATATGTATTGCATTAATTATGGAAGTGGTTTCAAGATTAAGTTCATATGTCAAAATAAATTAAATGCTTTAAATATACATAGTCAATGATGCTTTGGGTAAAACCATTTTTAAAAAGAAAATAAATTAGGCCATGCATAGTGGCTCATGCCTATAATCCCAGCACTTTGAGAGGCCAGGGTGGGAGGATTGCTTGAGCCCAGGAGTTTGAGAGAAGCCTTGACAATATAGTGAGACCTCGTCTCTACCAAAAAATAAAACAATTAGTGAGAAGTGATTGTCACACGCCTGTAGTCCCAGCTACTCTCAGGAGGCTGAGACAAAAGGATTACCTAAAGTCTATGGAGGGAAGGAGAGGGGAGGAAAGAAAGGAGGAGGGGAGACAGAAGGGAAAGAATTTAAACTCTAAAGGAATATAGTCAGAGCTTGTTAAAGTTGCTTAATCTTTGTTCCCTCCATTATGATGCTAGTATATCTGGAGACAGCTAGCTTGGAGTGTCCCGTTCCTGTCTCTAACAGATCGACGAGCTTTATTTGAAGTCATTTGTGTGATTAGGTAGAGAAGTACATGATAATGTCTAGTGTCATTTAAAACAAATTAATTTCTCATTTCATTTATCTGGTCATAATTCTCCGTCTGGGACCTCTTGCAAATGACTTTATGAAGAGTTAAAAACAAAGATATCATACAAGAATCAAAATGGAAGTTCTCAAACTCAGTGTCGCATTCTCAGTCCTTCCATGTGCACGCTCCTATGATGATCAGCTTGTCTTTTTTATATGTCTTTGCCTTTGTAAGTCTCATTTTCATAATTTAACTCATATGATATTGGTAAATTACACTACTTTGCCCCAAGGCTATAAAGGAGCTTCTGTATATTCTATTATAAAATTAGCTAATTAATAATTTCTCTGTATTGCCACTAAGCAAAACTACAGGGCTGAATTATGATGATGGAATCTCACTGCATGCACAGTATGAAACAGCAAGTCATCACTGAACATCAGGCATATGTGTGAGTGAGAGAGCATGAGCTGGAACACTTGCCAGGAGAAAGAAAAGCAGCTAGTTCTGCAGCCATTTTCCAAGGATGCATTTTGTGAATTTCATTTGTTGCTGGGAGAGGACGAGGCACGCAAGGAGACAGAGAGAACGAAGGGAGAGGGGAAAGAGAGAGGAACGAAAGAGAACAAGAAAAAGTAGGGAAACCAAGGCCAGGAAGAGAAAGGGATGTAGGATTCCAAAGACAAGTAAGACGTACTATTACATCTCCTTAAAGACACTATGTGGCCGGGCTCAGTGGCTCAGCCTGTAATCCTGTGCCTTTGGGAGGCTGAGGTGAGTGGACTGCGTGAGCCCGTGGGTTCGAGACCCACCTGGGCAGCGAGA